ACAGTCACCCCTCTCTTCCCAGCCATCCTCAGGAAATGCCACATTCTCTCAGATACTCATATTCTGAGTTAATTGTCCTGTCACCACAGTGGCAGTGAAGCCAGGACGACTTAGAAGCTTGACTTTCAGACCCACGACCTTCCCTTTTGGCATCCTTGAACCTCCTATCCACCTGCCAGCTAGGAACAAGTAGGAAAACAAAACAACCCAGTCTGCAGCTAGAGTGGATTCAGACAGAAAGCTGCCACTGAAGCCAAGCCCTCACAAACAATATCAAAGGTCATAGAAAGGAGAGGTTGATGGCTCCTCCCCAGAGCTACCACTGCTGGGTGGACTATCACTTCCCTTCAGACTACGAGCCACAGCCTGTTGCTGTGCCAGCTCTACCCTATGCAGCAGACAACTTGACAGAGACCATGAGAGAAGGCAATAACCTAGTGCTTGATCCAGCAAAGGGGAGCAGGCTGGTTTGCACACCCTGTGAGAAAAGGGTCTGCAATAACCCAGAGCTGCCACATACACATAGCTACAAGATCTGGATTAGGGAAAAAAACCCCAACCAACCAACAAACAAAACCAAAACAAGAAAACCCACCACACTCAAAACCAAACCAAGCAAACAAAAATCCCCCCAAAACCAAACAAAACATCACAAAACACCCAAACCCACCACACAACTAAAACCCATCTGTTTTATTTTACTGCAAAAAGAAAACGCAAACCAGAAGGTGCTTCCTCTTACTGAAACCCTGTAACTAAAATGAAATGCTAGAGACCCCCAATAAAAACGTTTGCAGTAAAACTGGCCAGAAACTCAGGAAAGTTTTATGAGCATGAAATCATGATCAGAAGCATCCTCTGTTTTAAGAAATTGTCAGAGCTGACTCCAAAGGAGTTAAGCTTTTCCTTAAGCCAAGCTTCAGACACAGCTTAAGAAGAAAGAAATAGTCCGCTTAAGGGCTTTGATGGAAATAATGGACAAGGAAAGGAGATTTACTTGGCAGTGACCAAGCCGACTTTCATGACATGTAACCCGCATGTCTAGTCATGCTCTTGGCATAAGTTCACTGTGATTTTAGCTGGGTACTCTCTCCTTATGATGAAACCATTAAGAACATGCTCACACCTGTCCTAAACAAATGTATAAGACATATGCAATAGTACTTGTTGCCGTGAAACAACCTGTCAACCTCCTGGGAAATCCAGATGGAAAAGGTTGTTTCCCCAGTTGAAAGCTACTGTTGCAGAGTCGGAAGAGTGTGATGAATCTAGTTCAGCCAAAGATGTCCACTGAATAGGGTAGTAAAGAACAATATGAAGAGATGTAGCTCCAGAATCAAACCTCCCAAAGGAGGACAGTATGATAAGCCTGCACTGTTACAGGATAATAGCACACAGAAGCCTTAAGGCATTGGCTGCTGTTCCTACAGCACCCTGGGACGATGATTTGGATATTACGTCACTGTTCTTCCTAGAGGAACTAGGCAGAACAACGAAGAATGAGAGATAGGTAGTCAGCCTTTGCTCAGCCCACAGGGTGCAAAACAAGCAGATTCAGAGTCTATAAACAAGAGACTAAGAGCTAAGATTCTGCCTTATAAGCAGAACAGCTGGACATGCTCAGGGCCAACTCTCTCAAACTAAGGTTTGCCAAGATGGGTGGATGAAGAGGAATTTAGTACCAGCCTATTGCCTCTTAGCCAGACATGGAACAGACTGAGAAAGTGGATGATCTTGCAGTCACCACAAGGCTGGAAAATATCAAGCCATGAGTTGCTTTATTACTTTTCTCAAAAGGAGGAAGAAACTGGCTACCTTTTAAGTTGTCTCGAAACAAGCTGTCTCTTTAGCTGATGATTATCAGAAAAGGGAATTGTACAAGGATGCAGTTTGGAGCACCTGACTCCAACATGCTTTTGACCTCAGCTGAATATCTGCAGTTATCACAAGGCCGGAAACTTATCTTCAGCAAATACAATGTCTTGATGAGCAGAGACAAGCATGAATAAGTTTTACCAACAGCCAAACAGAGGAAGGAATATTTAGCTAATGTTCTTTGATGTTACCTCACTTTCTACTCCTGTCAATCCTGTTACATGCATTTGAAAAGAGGGAAGATCCCCCATATTTGACATGTTATAGTTAAGTTTAGAAAGAAGAGACAGCAACAAATTTCTGGTAACTTCGTGGTAAAGAAAAAGTTAAAACCAAAACAAAACCCAATCAAAATTAGTGCCACTAAAAACTATGCCCCCACACCCCAATTCGCAGTTGAAGGAAAAATACTAAGTTTAACTGTTCAGATTGCAACAACTCTTTGATTTAATTTCCTAAAAGTTTGTTTGGTATTTACAGTGGTATATACTCGAATCACAAGGATACAGCTACCAGACTGATAATAGTTTTCTATCAGAATCCCATGAAAGAAGACATATGCAGCTTCTTTTAAAAACCTCATATGGGAAAGTTTCCTTCTGAGATGTTGCTCACCTGATTTTTAACCAAAGGTACCAGATCTTCAGGAATATCACCCAATGGATATGCACGGCCTGCCAAGCAGCAGCTATAGAAAAGGAGGGAAGAGGCATTTTTAATATGTCCTGACATTAGACAGATTGAGATCAGTTTACTTTTTGAGTTAGTTTTCAGGATGCTTTTAATATACAATAAGCCAATGCAGTGCATGAAGTGCACTGAAGGTATGCCATTCCACAGCACAAAAGTAAGGGGGAAGTTCAGTATTTCTCAAAAAATCTTTACTCTTGCATTTTAGGAAGCAGAAGTAATGCAGACTAATGTTCACCATCTTGAGTAGATTCCAGAAAGAGAAATTCCCTAATTAATCACTACTGTGCAATATCAGAATGACTCTTGCAATTGACAGGCAACTGAGCAGTTACCCCAAAAGGCATGGTGGAAAGGGCTAAAATACAGCTTTTCAGGCTGCAAGTCCTTGTTCAAGGAGCACTGTGTCACACACAGGACAATCATACTCTAACCAAATTCTGAGATACAATCTTAGCATATCAGCAGTAACCTGAGCTCTAAGTCACCAACTTTACCCTACCTGTCCACTCACACCATGTGTAACAAGAAGCTATGATAACTTCAAGTCAGCTGTACAAAGTAGCCATTGCTATTGCAATCACTCAGACCTTGAAACATACTGTAAGATTCTGCAACTACAGGAAGTTAAACACCTGGTGCCACCACCAGGAAATGCCTCACACACTTTCTAAAGGACCTTACCTTATATATACAAGCAGCTTGTTGCCCATTACCACCTGCTCATCTACAAAACAAGAATTATTTGTTACCTTTTCTTCACAAGACAACAGAGTGAGTTGAAATTCTTTTTCCCAGCTGTTAGCAAAACATCTCATCTGACACACATGGAGTTTAACACACTGTAAATTAGAACACTTTTCTGTTCTCCAAGACCCTTACAGGGGGAGTATGTATTTCCTTCTTGCATCCCTTTGTTGGAAGTGACTAGAGATATATAAAACATCAAATATCAAAACTAGAAACCCTTACAGGGAAAGAATTATGTACCTGTGAGAGACTTCCCAGCATTCAGTGGAGGAGCAATGACTTTGAACAGCTTCTGTAACAAGAAAGAAAGCAATGCTCAAGCAGCTGGAAAAGCTCAAAGCAAAGAATCTGCATGGGTTTAAAGCAGAGGTCAATGGTGTGTCTTCTCCACAGAAAGTCTGCTGTCTCACCACGTCTTACAATTAAATGGCTCAGAGGACACCAAGATGTGGCAAAGGATGCTTTTCCCAGCTGATGTTATGACATAGGGAAAAAGAGCCTTCAATTCAGTCAGATCTAACCCTAAGCACATAAGAGTATGCAACATATGTCAGCAGAGGAAGAATAGTATAAAGAAAAAGAAGCACAAGGTGTTCATACAAGCTCTCACACCTACACCCCCATTAATCCTATTGCACAAAACATTGATGCTTTCTCAGCACATCATGTCACATAGGCCAGGCTCACCACCAGCAACAAAGCTGTCAGAAGACATCATCTTAACTTTTCTGCTGCTTTTGTTTCATATTTGTTTCAGTAACACAAGTAAATTCCCTGCTCTAACCTTGTAGAGCATTGCTACCTCAGCAGGGAAATTTGTGTTCTAAAGCATCGTAATTATAAACTGCTTTTCTTCTCTGCTGCATCTAGTCAAATAAACTGCATGTATCATACATGATTTCTCCCTTGAATGAAAAAGAACAAGAATACCTCCACAATGAATGAGAAGACGAGTTTGAAATGCATTTTGTCAGAAAGAATGTGTGCTGAACACAAAAAAACCAACTCACTGCACTGAACATCTTTCCTACCTCCATGGGACTGATGAAGTCATTCATCCCACTGTTGTAGACATAGATCATGGCATCATAGAGATGGTTTTCCCAGCATAGAAGAACTACCTGCAAGGCAAACAAAGCACAATAGATATATACACAGCTGCTCTTAGCTCTCAGTTTTCTTATTTCCCAAGTCTCTCAAATGCAATCTCTGTCCCTGCATTTGCATCATCTGACAGTATGACTTAAAGCAGAATGAGAATTTCCGCTTGCAGAACTAGTCTCTGCAAGGACCCCAAATCCACAAAGGGAGTATCCAGCTTATTGCTCACGCTGCAAACATGGAATCTAACTGTCTAGTTTGCCTTTTGGTTGGGTCAGTGAATCATTATGTCAAGTTCCCAAGCAGTTTCTTCCTTGGAATGGAAAGCCATGCAGTAGGAATGAAAACTGGACAAGGAAAACAGGACTACTGAGCAGGAACACCTCCTTGCTCCACTAATTCTGTCATGCAAGAGCAAGCACCTGAGCAGAGCAAGCTGGCAGACACTGAACTAGCAAATGCAACTTGTTTTTTGTGACCCTGCAGCCTTTGATGTTAGGTAAGGTACTCAAACGAGGAAAGACTGATTGTGAATATCCTGACAGACTAGTAGTTGCCAACATATTCAGCTGCCTGTGCATTAACTTATGCCAGGACACAAACTAGGAGAGCAAAACAAGTTCATAGAGCATGCATAGTACAGGATGGACACAACCACACTAATTCCCACATTCACTGAATTCGATCCAAGGGACACAGGGCTAAGTTCTGTTACAAATCAGTGACCAAAAGGCATGAATGGCTTGGGCTATGTAAGTTTTGTCTACTGAAAGGTGACCACCTTGTTTTTCACTTGCTAGGCTGTGCTTAAAAGCACAAGAAGTTTGCATCAGCAACTAGGGTATGTTGTCATCTATTTAGAGGAACTCAATCCAGTATGCTGTACAAGTGCTCACCTGCTGTATGTCCAAGCTGGTGATATCCATATGCACAATGCAGGCTTCCAAATTTTCCAGCCTATTCTTGTCTTGGAAGTGAAGCAGCAAGTCTTTCATCACTTGAGGTGTGATTCCCATCAGCTTATCACTTAAGATATATGGCTCCAAGCACTCCAGAAAGATGCCTTTAGCTACAGAATTCTCACTCATCTTATCATATATCTGGTTAAATAATAAATCCCTAGGAAGAAAGAAGTGTTTAGTTATCAAATAAACCTTATTAAAATCACCTTATCTGCTTTCTGAGGGCTCCAAACTAAACTCTAATTTCTCTGTATTTATCAAACTCAGGAGCAGAATGCCCTGTTCAGCTGCTCTATGGTGCAAGTTACAGGCAGCTACACAGAACAAATCAGGCATGGATGCTGCAGCAAAACCCCCTTCTGTTACAGGGGAAATGATGACAACAAGGAAACGTATCAAAGCACCTTCTTTCTTAAGGCGATGGTGTGGGGGAAAAAGCCTGAAGCAAATTTTTCCTCAACACATCAATGAAAACTTAAGACATTTTTGAGTACTTAGTACCCTGACTTTAGTATCAGTTTTTCAGCATTCCTCTAAACTGTGACGTGATACATGAAGTGACAATGACATGATACAATTCCTCTAAACCATGTGATACTATAGGAGACAGCACTCAGGGCTACGTGGATTTGGTGGTCTGCCTTGGAAGACAGGCTTGCAAACTCAGACTTACGTGCGCTGGAGTAAGAGGCAGTAATCAGCTATGACAGGCACCACGTCCTGTAACAGAAACATAAAAAAGCTGTGGGGACTGGTAAAAATCCTGCCAAATAGCACAACCTACAGAGCACAAAGTGAAGCCTGGCCAATACAGAGCAGAATCAATGAGTTATTTGAATCAGCTGGTAGCTGGCACAGTTACAGGTTTTCCCATATGCTGGTTCATATGGAGAAAAACTCTAGTGACACTTCTGCAGAGGACAGAAAGCATACAGGTTCTGCTCTGCTGCCTAGCCATAGCTGAGTCCTGATATCGTTAGTGCACACAACAGAAGAGAGTGTTCAGGTGAATGACAGCAGTATTATTCAAAACTAGACAATTTTTGCAGCAAAGTCTGATTAAAAAATTTTAAAAGGTACCTGAAAATGTTGCTCCATAACTTGGATTTTTCCTTGGTCAGGACATTTCTTCAAAGTTCGATCAGCATAATGGAGGAGGATTTCAACCATCTGAATTACAATAAACAAGAAAATTAATTCAAATCCTCCACTAGAGGCCCTACTTGGCAGCACACTTAATAGAATGACTTGGGGGTTGGCAGAACTGTAAACTTTGTTGCCCCATTTTGGGTATGAAACTACTGTGGGCAGGAAGAAGAGGCTGCCAAAGAGACAACGGTATGACCGGCACAGAAGTGGCCTGGTGGGACACTCAAGGCCTACACTAACTTTAACTGACTAAGAAACTGGGCAGCCAGTCTGCCAGCAAATTTTCAGGCACATGAACACATCCTGAAGCACAAGACTCATCTGGGCCATATTTTTACCCAAAGCTTTAGTATCTTAAACAGCAAAACTTATTCACCTGCAAGTAAAATATACACGAAGAGCGAAGTACAACTGAATAATTATTCCAATAATTGTGCATTTTTAAAAATACCCTTCCCAGAAAAAGGTTCCTCTAACAACCGAACAGAATCACTTGATGAGTTTTTTCCATGTCCATGTATACACAGAGCAAAGTTTCCATCTCAAGTCAGCAAGTTACACATTGATGGACACTTGCCAACCAAAGGTCAGGAAACTGTGGAGTTACCTACAAAAAAGGTTTCTCTCCACTGTGAAGAGACCAGAGATCTCAAGGCCTGGATGATAATGTCATGTTTTGATCTGCTAGTGCTGCAGCTTTTATCCCCACCTTTACCTAAAAGGTATTTCCAAGTCTCTTCTAAAATCCTGCTCACAATTTTAGCAAGAGGTGCTCATCTACACGTTCTAGAGTTAGATGGATTAACTTTTGGAGGACAGAAACCATTTCTTCCAGCAACATGGTATCACATCAGTACACATGAAAATCCCATTAAGAAGAGATCAGTGACTCACCCTGTCTGCAATGACTGCTTTCCGCTTGCTTGTGTCCCCAGACAAGCCTAGAAAGAATGAGGGCAAAAAGGAAAACCATGAAGCTTTTCTCATCTAAGCTATCAGTGGAAAGACAAAAATCCCACAGTTAAGATGCTAACACCATTACCCTCGAGATGCAGAGGTCAGGATATCTAAATACACAGTTTTGTGTTCTACTTTTAGCTCAATCTTCTGAAGAGCCTATTCTCCCAATGTAAAGACTGTTCCAGCATAGGAATGGCAAGAACAGACTAGAGTGCTGTTTAACGTTGAGGGCTGTCAAAGACTGCGTACATGAGGCTAACTGCTGGAGGACGCCTTGATGCAAAGAAGCTGAATTAAGTGCACTATAAGGGGAAAAAAAAATTCTTAAATGCCAACTTAAAAAGACAGTAATTCTTTGAATACTGAAAAACTATCTGCTTAATTGCATTCTAACCACTCATTAAAACAAGACACATCTTGATATACCAGCAATTTCACAGTAGGAGGATCTTAACCCAAGAACTTGAGTCTCACCTGTCAAAACCATCAGAAGTTATTTGCTGAAAAGTTTATGTGTCCAGTCCAAGTCAGACCATTCAAGTGGCAGTTTCTGGCATAATTAACATGTTTATCATAACAAGCTAAATGCTCACAAAGCTTCCTCCTTCGTAGGAAAACTGGTGCCAAAGCAGTTCTTTCAGTCAGTTGTATAGTCAGAAGAGACTTAAATGAAAGTACCTGCTTGGCAGAGCTGACAGAACTTCGCAGTGAAAATTACCTACAGGTCATGCATGACCTTCAAGTAATATTTTAGCAGGCTAAATATTCAACACCTGGATCTACCTCCTTAATGGCAAAGTGACAACAGACAGGAATCACAGCACAGAACAAGTCTGATTTTCTTCTGAAAACAGCAGGCTGCTAATGAGACTACAACTCTCAAAAAGCCTAATCAAACCACATAAAACTTGTTTCTGCCAAATCCAAAGCAGCACATCCTACTTTCTCTTCTTAATTATCTTTTTTTCTCCCCCTGAAAAAGTGATTTCTGTACATGCATAGGTTAAAACCCTCCCATAAAAAAATAGTAGAAAACCCAAACTTACCTACTACAGCTTTTGCTTTGCCTTCATAAAAAGACCAAGCTAGAGCCAGGGCATCAGTGAGACGCTCTTGTTTCAGAAGGTGGTCAACCCTCTAAAATAACAAGTAATACTGGACCTTAGTATTACAGAAAAGGAGATCCCCTCCCAATTTATGACCAGCATTTCCCAGTGACACTGTGCATGTCATTTGTAAGACCCTACCCAGAACAGTATGTGCCACAGTTCAAGATACTGAGCAGAGAGGAGGTACAAAGAACAGTGACTAGGAAAGAAGAAAGGAATGGGAAGATGTTCTTACAAGAGAATGATAAAGGAGCTTTGCTTAGCCTTGCAAAACAGAGTCTGAGAGAGAACATGCATACATCGAATAAACATACTGTAAACTGAAAAAAACACCACAGGAACAAATAGGCATAAATGGACCACTAAGAAATTTAATGTAGAAATTGATAACGTTTCAGCTGTCAGAGAAATGATGTTACAAAGTTAATCTTCTATCAAGAGGAACAAGGATCTAAAATCCAGTGAACTTTCTAAGTAGTCTGTGTTAGATTTTATGATGTGGCTCCTGCAGTAGCTGGAGACAAAATACAGTGAACCAGATTTCCTTCTGCTCCTGTGTATTACCTGGCAGACAGAAGGCTTACATTTACTCAGTCCTCCAAAGCCATACATCGCAGTAACTTGTTAGCAGAAGATGACACACGGCAAGCATTATGTCTTGCTTGGGAGAACAAGGTCTCCATTCAGCCTGCAAATTTATGCAAGCAGGAGTCCCACAGCATCCCAACTTGGAAAGTAGTGCTGGCTGCATGCAGCAATCAGGGATCCTGAGTACAGTGCGCAAAACATGCTTCACAAATGCTCCCTCCCTCCTCTCAAGCAATTCAAACCTAAGCTGTACAGTTTTCCTCTCAACATACCTCTCTCCAGCTTCTCAATGTCATGACATGAACTGACTAGAAAAGAAAGGAAAAAAAAAAGTTATTTAGATGAAACTAAGTAAAGCAATTCTCAAGCTCAGCATGGCAGGAATAAATTGGATGTTCATATTTAATAGAAAATAATTCCTCACATGGCCTTACAACACGTGTTCCAAGATACTGCCCCTCACTTCTTCCCTTACTTCCACATGCCACCCTATAAGCCACCTCTCTCTTTTTCACAGACAGCCTGCACTGCAGGACAGGGAAAGTGAATAGTATATTCCTTTCATCATTTCATGCAACAGAGTCTAGTTTTCCCTGCTGTCTTATTTTCTTCTGTTTACCCACTAGTGCATTTAGGACAGAAAAATTGAAGCTTAGGAGAGATGTCAGTAATGTAACGCTAAGTCTACCCTGAAGCAGCATAAACCAAGATGCTGTGAAACTGTGACCATGTCTCATTTAGCCCATACCTCAGCTAAAATCAAATTATTGCATGTTTCTTTAATCCCACAACACGTAGGGGGGGTGGATTTAAACTGTCAGAGGATAGATTTAGATTAGATACTAGGAAGAAATTCTTCCCAGAGAGGGTGTTGAGACTCTGGCACAGGTTGCCCACAGAAGCTGTGGCTGCCCCATCCCTGGCAGTGTTCAAGGCCAGGTTGGACACAGGGGCTTGGAGCAACCTGGTCCAGTGGAAAATGTCCCTGCCCGTGACAGGGGGTTTGAACTAGATGAGCTTTAAGATCTCTTCCAACCCAAACCAGTCTATGATTATGATGACTCTACAGTGCACAAAGAACCCATCCCTTATCCACATCTCCACAGAATAAAAAACTGCATTTCTCCAGAAGATGAGCTACTATTAACAATGAATGACCTGTATTTTCATTTAAAACTCCCCACCTTTACCTTAGTTCCAAGGTAAAAGATCTGACCACCGCAGCTGCTGATGGACTGGTAACATGCTTTCTCTCCAACCAGTGCCTACAGGGAAGAAAGTTACATACAAGTAAAACTCCTTTTTGTGTTTTTAGTTTCCCAAGAATCATATACACACTTGAACTTTAGACATACTTTGTAATTCAAACATCAAAATGAGGACTGGGAGAGAACACCACAGATTGCTGGGCAGCAGAGAGTAAAAAAGCTCTGCTGTCACTCCTTTCTGCTTGTGAATACAGCTTGAAGTGCTACTGAGCTCTGGTTGCCCAGAAAACATGAGAGAATCATAAGGACCCTCAAGCATTGCTCTGTGTCTATCTTCAGATGCAAGAAAAAAAAGGTATGGGGGCTCTTCCCTTGCCATCTGCTCCTTCACAGATCTTCCTCAAGAGCAAACGTGTAGGAGACACAGATGGAAAGAATACTGTTGAAGTTGCCACAACAGAAGTTTGAATGCCAGTAACTAGTGTTCAAACGGCATGAGAAATGGAGGATCACATCAAAATTTGAGATTTTACCCCATGGGCAGTGCTTGCTTCCCACTCAGTTGCACAGTTACACAGCGTAGAGTTACTTGTCCTGTGCTTTTCTCAGTATGGTCAGGTAGCGAAGCTCCCTGGATCTCTTCCCACTGCTGAAAAGTTGTGTCCATCCCAGGGACTTTCATTAAGTAGAGGCATTTCTTAGAATCACAATAGCATTTTAACAGGCAGCACTTCTTTGGGCCTGCCAGTTTTTCAAGCCACACATCTCTGGCTTTGAGGATAATCACCAGAAGTCATCACAGAACACAGCAGAGTTTCTGGAATTGAGTGCAAAACTCCAAGTAATGACATATCCCAGCACAGACAGCTCATATACCACCTTAGTGCCAACCTATAGCTGTGTTCTGTAAGGTTGTGCCTCACAATTCCAGATCACACAGCAGGCAGTATATAAGCTCATTCAGACTAGACTCCACCTTCTGACTCTTTCTTCCCCAATATGCATCTGCAGCAGAAATAATGACAACAGTACTACTGTGGGAAGCAGACAAAGCAGTGAAAGCCAGATAAGCAGCAACGTTGTAGATCTAAAAGGCTGCAAAGAGTCCTCCATAGATCTGTCCAATCAGATTGGAAGAGGCACTATTTCTTTGGTGCTAAAGAGAACCATGACAGGGAGATCTCCCTTATGAAATTCTGCCATTCTGCACTGAAAACACTTCTCTCCTTGGACTTCTGGAGCCGAGCCATGACCACACACTGGGCTTGCAATTGCTATAGGCCCACATAAGCCTTCTGCTAGTAGTTTGGCACAGCAAATCTCACAGGCTATAGCAGAATTGAATAGGAACCATCTTGTCCAGCTGTGGAATTTCAGAACTCCTGTACTATCTCTGGGGAAGGAAGCACTGGGAGGCTTGAATGCAATGATAGAAGGCCCTTTCCTACACACACTCTTGGCAAACTGTTTCCAAAATAGAACACAAACATTTACTCTACTGAAAGCAATAACTCTTCCCACAACTATGACTTCAAAAAAACCTCCACAATTCTATGGCAATACAAATACCACATCAAAGCAAGTTTGCTAAAGGCACATGTGGGTTACTGGAGATATCAGGAGGCACTGAAATTAACACCTACTTCAGAAATAAAACATGTCCAGACACCACAAGGGCCAGGGTGCAACAAAATAACTAACAAGCATGAAAATCAAAATAAAAGAAAAACAAATAAACAAAACAGGCAAAAATAGAAAACACAATGTTTGAACTGTTGCAGCTTCCAGGACAGGGAACATGTACTGCACAGACACTACTATGGCAGAGTATCTGTGGCATACAAAGTACAAAAGGCTATAGGTATCTCTTGAAGAATAAAGTACATCAGCTTTTTTTCCTGTACAAAGTATTCCAAAGCTTGGTAACTTAAGAGCAGCTCCCAAAAACACCAGTGCACAAAAAGAAACATGAACTGTCTGTTAGCTGACCACATCAATACCATGTATGATTTCTGAGATGCTTCAAAAAGGCTTTTTCCAAAGCTCCAGGCTTCCAATTAGAGTATACCTGAAACAGAGCTGCCTAACACAAGCAGACAATTTGGGCCTACCAGGGCTTCGCTGACATTGCCTCCCGTAGCCAGGGATTTGAAGTGGCTGCTGTTGTACACTAGCTGAACTTCTGAGATCTCTATGGTCTCCAGCTCCTCCTGTGTCTGACGATCTATAACATGCAGCTTCTCCACACTGTCCAGAAGCACTGCTGTCCGTGAGTTTATCCACTGAAAAAACAACAAAGCACAGATTTCAGCAACACACAATTTAAGCCAAACTAAACAGGCTCTGGCCATATCTGTGAGTATCAATACTGGAAATTCTAGGATGGCGAGTAGCTTTGTTACTATACACTGTCACTTCACAACAGCACCCATGCATAACTCCAAAGGTAAAGGTAGGGAGGATCCTTCTGGAGTATCAGCTTTTATACTGAGAAAAAATACAGGGAACCTTCTTAGAGAGAACATCTGGAGACAAACGGCAATCCACCAGAGTTCTTGTCCTCCTGGTGCACTATTTATGTTCTAGCACACTTTCTGTCTGAAGGCCTGAAAACCAAGCCTACTACAGCACCTCAACGCCTGTTCTCAAGTCCCTTAAGAGGGAAATACGGCATCAGGACACATTCAAAAGAGGAATAGCACATCTAAGTTTAACTCAAACCCTGTCATTCACGTTCTGTGGCATGAACTTTTATGTTCAAAACCCTGCAAATAAAAAGGCTTTTTTTACACCACTTTTACAGTATTTTTTATAAACAGCTGAGCATATTTGTTTACAAACTTCAAATTCCAGCTGATGTGGATGTCTGTGTTGGTATTTTGGCCTTTCATGCTTTACTCGCTGTATTCTGTAAATGTGTTTAAGAATCAAACAATTTTTTTTTGGTGTTGAAAGCATCAAACAATTCTGGTGCTTTAGCAAACACTCACATATGGAAACACTAGGATTTTACTGAGCCAATTACACAGAAGCTTGCATTCTTTTTACTGAGAATATAGAACAAAAAAACCCCTAGGAACTTTCTTGCCAGATTCTCTCTGGATCTTGAAAACATTTCCTCAAAAATACTAACCCTCCTTTCCAAGAAAAAGGAGTATTGTTGCCTCCGTGCTACTAATTTTTTATCCTTTAGCTACTACTTGCTATTTCGCTTGTGCTGGTTTTCCACTGAGTCCCAGGTTTAAGAGCATTTTGGTTCAGGTAGCTCCACATAACACATCCACTTCTTATGCTACATTTGTAAAGCCAATGGTAGAGAACTAAGGGCTATTGAGATACATTTATGAGAAAACTAGTGCAAACCAGAAAAAATAACCATTCTGTACTACTGAGACTCACAGTAAAGTTGATGAGGTCGTAGTGTAGATGAAGCTGCCTCTGCTTTGTGACATGTATTGCACCGGTATCGTCTCTCTTCACCTAAAAGAGAAATTGGACAAGTCTGACTCAAACTCAGAGACTTTCTTCAGCTCAAATTCTTTCTTCCCAGAGGGCATCACACCAGCTCCAGGAATCTGGAGCTCCACTCAGACACATTGAGTGTGCAGTAGCAGCACATACACTTCTCAAATGGAGTGTGATGTCTCACTTTCAAAAGCACTCATGTAAGCGAGGAAAAGGAAGGCTCTGGGCTGGGGGCAGTAAAAATACATGCCCTCTGCTGGGTCAATTTTAAACTATTTATTTGTTCTACAAGAGTTGGATGCTATAAACAAGTTGGCACTACATGCATTGAAGGGATTATTCTCTTCAGCCCCACCTCAAGTATTATCTGAGGCAATTCAGTTTCTAAAATGGGTGCAAGCCTCCAGAGCTCATAGAGAGAGCACCAAAGGAGGACTGGTTCTCATTCACTGACTCCCAAGAGGCCTAGTCCCACTGGAATACTGAACTGAAGGGAGATATTGCATGACAACTGCCAGTCATGGGTTCTTTCAGCCCATGCAGAACTACTGTACTTTCTGCTCATTAAAGTCAGAACTACAGAACACTGATATGAAACTGGCTTTAATTTATCATCATTTTAAAAAAAAGCATTCTGCGAATGGAAATAAGGGGTTTTACCTTCTGACAATTTGAAGTACAGCAAATGGGACCTGAATTCAAGTAACATGGCTGCTGTTTAGTAACACATAAGCAGAGCAGGACCACTGGCCATAGCCGAGCTGGGTATCTGTGCAGAAGCTCATACTATTACATGCACATCTCCAGCAAGACAGGCTTAAACCTACATCCTTTTCTTTCTCCCCAGATTTATCAGAAGAGAGGATAGAGAAGAAAGAGGATTTAATCCAGACAACACAATGTTTGGGTGCTTGAGCAAAGCTTAAGGTCCAAGATGACAGCAGAGCTGGGAAACGAAGTTACTATTCCAAAGCCAAAATGCCATTTACTGAAGCCTAGGTACTGCTCTTATACTGAAATCAGACCTGAAATCATCTTCAAACATATCTGCACGTGTAACTTCCGCAGATCTAAACAGGACAGGCAGCATGCTCTAAAGTCACATCCCAACAGGACCTGAAAGCTGCTGACTCTTAGTGGTTTATACAAGTTTTTTCCAGACTCATGTTTTAAAGCAAAAAAAAAAAAAAAAAAAAAAGGTATCTCAAATTCACACAGTCTCCCTGAAAACAATTCACATTCTTCTACTTATAGTAGAAATGAGATAAGCTGCAAATCAACACTTCTGGAATGCATAAAGCTCATACCTCCAGATTCTCAGGGAAGGGTACCCCTGCTTGCTGAAGAGCAATGACCAACATGTATGTGTTCCTAAGCTGGTTGCAAGCTGCAGACATCCCTACCATGCACATATACCATACTGTCACTAAGACAGAGGCTCAGTCAGCTGAATATGTGAATAAGACATTACTATCTGAAAAGCAGCATAAAACATCCAAGGCTTACCAGAAGAAAGTGAACAACATCTCCTCGACAAAATGCAAGCATGGGGTTCACAGAGTTCTGTACAGCCACAAAGTGCCATGCCAAAAGAGGGACACTAGAAGGGTCCATCTGTTAGACAAAAAGCACAGACAGTATTTAAGGTACGCAGGGCAGAACCTCAGTTCCAGGCCACATCAGCTGATACTCAATGACCTTGCCATGTACACACACAGGCTGCAAAGCAATTTCCTGGTCTGCTGGTAGCTGAGCAGGAGCTGTGCTCTTCAGTCCAACTACATGGTTTAGGGGCAACATGTGCCTCTTGGCAAAGTGGACAGCCAGTTAGAACAAAACCTGTGTCCTAGCTGCATACCGTAGGTCCAATCTCACATGTAGATTGATGGACTAAAACAAGCTGCAGCTTGCCAGCAGCCTTGACTCCATTCTTGCAGTCTAGTATTCTCACATCTTCCCCAAGCTGCTTTTCCAAGAGGAATTAAACCAGCAACTAGTGAAAGCACATAATCAAGAGTTCAGAAGACTGTTGAGTGCTCTGTTTCCACTTCGTTTCTGTCCCTGTTGTTAAGGGTTCTGTTGTATTGTTCTTATGTAAAGCAATAGCCCCAGTCCGAGGTGACTGCAGCCATAATCAGGTGAACATTCCACCTGTGGGTGCATTCAGGCTGCAGCAGGGAAGACAAGAAGCTAAGGGGCTTCTTCATTACTCCCTTCCTACTTAGGGGAGAAATTCAGCATCTTCACAGAGGTAGAGCTGAAAGCAGCCTTTTAACCTCCTCTCTGCCCACAAACTGCACACATCAGACCAACAGATTATCACTGCAATTCCACAATGCAGAGTTTACTGCATGCTGATAAAGTAACAATACCAAAGACCTGGACCTAATCTCATCCCCTTCACTTTAGAAACCGTTTGTAGCCATAATCCAAAAAGCAGATCTTTGACTTCATTACTTACACGACCATAGGGAAAGGTCATCCACACCTTCAGAGACGGTTTCAGGCCAATAACCAGTATCTTCAAGAAAAATAGAAAGGCAAATTAAAAAGTTTGAGCATATACCAGCAAACTTCTCCTTCGCGATTTCTTACACAAAGCCTTCTGCATGCAGCAAGTTACCTTTGTCAGGGAGGCCATGGCTAGCAGTGAATATTGGGTGATAGGATGGTCTCTCAGCTCAACTTTTGCGTGTAATGGTTCAATACAGCAAACTTCCCCCTTCGAGCCACTGAAGAGACATCGAGATTCACATGTTCTCACTCCCATAACCCTCCTGCAAAGAAAAGAAATCAGCTTGGTGGCCAGCTATCAAGAAGAGATCAACCCAACAACCTCATGAAATCTCAAGAGCCATCCTTCGTAAATACTATTTTTAAGAAGTCCTTTACACAACTCCAGGGATCACTTTTAGTTTGTCACTAAAAGCAGTCACGTAAGTTGCTCAACTACAGACAAGACTGCTTTAGATCTTATTCCATGTCCTGGAAATTCCAGGACATGATCGGATCCCCTAGACTGTCAATCCTTCCTCCTTGTCCCTTCTCTTGAAGAGACCAAGAAGAAAAGAAGCAGTTACTGCAGGGCAGCTCTCACTAATAAAATAAGGAAAACTAAGACGCAGCACTTTTATGGCAACTACCAAGAGCCCACAAGGAATGTGCCAAGATTCTGGAAAATACACTGATTGATACCTTAATAACTTAGGCTATTCTTTGCTATCACACTGCCAGATAACATCTTACTTCAGCTGTGAAATTACACTGCAGCCCTAAATCACACCTTCAAAATTCGGACAGTAGCATATTTATTCCAGTGAGAATTTTTTTGCTTGGGTTTTAGAAACTATGACCCAGAATTAGTTTCTTGTACTTTCTACAGGTACTTAAGAGTTATTGTCTTACTTAAATGACAGTTCAAATACGGAGCCTCCGCTGTCATTGCAAATTGCAAGCGTTGGGTCATCTGTAAACTGAGCAGATAATTAGATTAGAAGTGTCACTAAGAAATAAACTGCTGGGAAAAAAAAAAGGATAGAAAAATATATCTGTGGCATTATTAACAGCACACAAAAGTACAAGCACTGTATCTACCAGAAAGACATATTTTACATGCAGAGCTGAGGCAATTACATGATGTGTGAGAAAAGCAAGGGTTTGTGTTTCATCTTCACCCCCCCAGCAAGTCCTACTGCTAGATTTTGTTACCAAAGTTCAACTACTTTCTATTGCAGCTCAGAACTAAAGCATACCAAAACCTGTGTTACCACTAGAGCAGCACAAGCCCAGGAGTTGGTGCCAGCACTGGTGTCTGATTGCAGCCACAAACAGACCAAAATCAGAAACATCCAGAACTACTAATGATACCAAATAATCAAAATAAGAAAGGGTCACAACCACAGCTGAGACACTGCTCTAGAGGACTTTACAACCCAGCATCTAGCAGCACAAGCATCTGGCTTCTATAGCAGTGCCTGAGTCCCCTTCAATGCTGGTATTGCCACCAGGTTATGAGCCAGAGAAGGGGGACAACTAGGAGCAGAGGACCTGGCACAGGGGAATATCCATCTTTATGCACAAGGCAAGGATAGCAGAGACAGAAGCATGGAAGAGGGCACCTTCACATCCACAGAACATTTCTGGTTAGCCAGGTGAGACCAACCAGTACATCAGAACCTGTCCTTGAGCAACATGCCCCACTACACTAGTTCCGTGTGACACTATGCATCCAGGATGTCTCAAACAAGGTCTAGGAAAGGAGAAGAGAGAGAAGAATTTGTGTGATGCACCAGTGTCACTGCTCTGACCAGGCTGCCAAGGAGCATTACGCTCTGGTGGAAGAGGTCCACTTATAACAAAGACATGTACAAAATCAGATATGAGTTTCTGTGTGTGACAACACTATGATGAAGAGGAAGCCACAGATGATTTCTCTTTCAATCCAAACATTCCCAACAAGTAATTGGAAAAACTGCTGACAGAAGCTACTTTCTACAATTCAGATTCATTTAAGTTTAAAGTTGGTAAGCCATGTATCTGGTTCAAATCACAGCAGGTTTTAGAGAAATGTATGCTAGCAACTAATTCCTCATAAATGTTGGCATCAGAGAGAGGAGCTCAAACAGACAGCGACTGTTGTTTGTTACAGTACAACCCCCAGCAATACAATTACTTCAGCTCTCAAAACACTCAGTTTCTTTTTAAAATAGATTTTCTGCTCCATTTTCTCACCTCTGGATACTATCACCATATAGCTCCTAGGTAGCTGCTCTCATCTATAAACCTAAAAGTTCCACACAAGGAAGGTCAACATGTCTGACTGAACACAAGTGTGTTTAAGAGAAAAAAAGAAACTAGTATAGAATCATAGAATCACAGAATGAATACATGTAGTGTTTGTTACCTTGATGTGCAAAATAGCTGTTCCTGGGGGGTGGGCATCTGTTATTGATCGTAGAAGCTTCCCACTGGCCAGATCCCACATTGTGATCTGCAAGCAGATTGTTCTTAGTACACGTTTACTGTGAAGGGGCTCTCTCCATTACCTTGTGCATTAGTACATGGTAAACTTCTATATTCCCAATATCATCCCAGGTTAATAGGGTCTTCATATCAAGGAGAGTGGATCCAAAATCTGTTCCTACGCTATTTTTACAAGCAGTTAACTTCCCTGCTTACACTCTCACCATGAACCTTGTCACTGCTCCTGCATTCGCCCAGCATGACAGGTCAGGTAGGAGTAAACAGCCTGGCTTGAGCTTGGATATTAAATTCAGGCAATCTGAATCAAACTTTTTATTGGGAATACTGTTTTATATGGTTCCATGTAACATCTATCAATGTCTCATAGACCAGATGTTTCAGAAGTGCTGCTCCAAAATATTTCATCTGAGTATCATTTAAAACAGGCCACTGCTCTGCATGGATCAGATCTGTATTTCCACATGGTCTGGAGCAGTGTCTCATTTAGCCCTATCACAGGCACTGGAGCATGTTTTATCTAGAACGGATGTGAAAGCCAAAGAAGCAAAGGGAAATGAAACTAAACAGAAAAACAAAGCATCCTTCTTTGTGTTCCATGGACCTTACAATTTTACCAAGTTAACTTCTATCCGTTTTGCTTTAGTTTTAGTCTTATAATTGTTCTTTAGGAATTGTTTTCTCTCCTTAGGTTCAGAGAAGGGTGCAAGACTACAACAGTAATTTTTATGGTATTAGTAAAAATTAATTTTGGGGCTAGATATGAGTTTCAAGAATTTCAAGTCATCACCACAGTAAAAACTAGCTTTAATTACAAAGCATAAATCTCAACGTGACCTAGGAAGACTAAGTTGGTTGTCCTGTCATTGCACATTTCAGTTTATCAGGAGCAGGACATTTGCCACAACGAGCTGTGATTAACTGAATCCTTCACTATATTCTGCATTATCCATTTCCTCTATAAAAACCCAACCCAAATCATTTATCTGAGTTAGGTCACTGAATGCAGGAATTGGCTGGCCAAAAAAGCTCTGGGCAGATCAAGCCACGCATACTGCTTCTCAACACAAAACCAATAAACAGCTACATATTGAATGTGTTTGGCTTGGAGCTATTGTCACCTCTGGAGAATCTCTTGGTAATGCACTAGGACAGGGCACTGGACCATCTCATCCTATGGGAATTACCTGTCCTTTTGCAAAGCCACACAGGAGCCTCGAACAGTCATTGTTGATACTGAGAGCAGAGATAGCCCCATACTGGGCCCCAACAGCAGTGCTGCCCAGACACAGCCGAAGAGCCTGGTTTTGATCTAGGGTAGAAGTAAGAAATTAAAGAGAAAGAAAGAGCAATGATTAAATTTAACATCATGCAATTATTTACATACACAATTCACTTGGGGGTACATCAATGATTCACAGGCTTACAATTGAGTTCTGTAGAGTTTACAAGATGAGAGCACATATTAGTACAGAGATAGTGGGACACTGTCTGCCAGAGAAATACAAAGATTATTTTTAAAGCTACAAAACAGGCACAGGGAATATGGCAATGCAGGGGTATTACAAACTGAGCAAGAAACTACCAGAAAAATCAAAGCAAGAGGTAGCTTTCCTTTTATTGATCTGCAATGGTGCTTAAATTGCAGCAAGGAAGATGATAGAAAATTAATTCTATCTTCTGAGGCTTATACTTCTGATGCTGATCTGAACATCAAGTATAACTCCCAACATATGCTTCTTCTAAGTGTAGTTTTATGTAACTTTTATTCCTCAGTTTTACGGATAATGGCCAGAAGCTGGAGGGAAAATGAGCTTGTGTCCCCAAGCTGCACAGTTAAAATGCTTGATGAGTTCTAACGCACACAGGTCTGACTTGATAAGGAAGCAGTGCTGATCACTGCACTGTGACAGAACTTCCTTTCCCAAGACACAGGCTACTGCAAAGGAGGTGCTACTGCCTGCACAGCCTCCCAGGGGACTGGACTGCTGCATGGCCATGCCCTGCCTGCCCACTGCAGACAACAACCAACAGTACTCTTGTCATGCAAGTTCTGGTATGTGTCTGCCATGAGACTAAAAATTGCTTTACAAGCACTTCAGGAGTTATGAATGATAACCATCTGCCTGGCTTCAGTCCACTGATCTTCAAAGAGAACAAATGTTGTGGATCTGCTTTTTCCACCTCTCTCCACTTTTGTCCTGCTTTTAGTGGGGGAAGAAGAAAAGATGTTTTATAGGGACTGTTGTAATGAACACTATGAATCTGAAATACATCAGAAGCTCCACAATAACACTGTGTACAGGATTTTACCTTGAACAAGGAATAAGAAGGACAGGATCCAGGGAACAGGCAGCAACTGAGCACCAGAAACCCCCTGGAAGAACTGCCCAAGGCACAGGATACATTTCTCCAAGTTGCAGCACTACTAGCAATGTACTAAATGTGAAACAGAGCATGAATTTATTTCTCACTTCTTCCCCAGTCTGAAGTGATGTATTCAGCAATTTGCATGGACAGGTTGATCGCACACACAGGCTGAGTGCACACACAGTGGAAATCACCTTTCAAATTCTAACAGTATGAGTAGTAATCAGTGGGAGGAGCAAAATAAACACTAGCTAGAAAAGTACCTGAATTCATGGATTACTCTAAAGCACTGTTTAGGGTGAGAAAAAAGACATTCGGACCAAGTTCAAATATTTGTTCCACTCTATTCCTTATCTTCCTGCATCTACCTCAATAAACTCATCTCCTGTTATAGCCCAAAAGAAAGCAAAAAACTGCTTTTCCTGTAAAATCTGGGTAGTGTTAGCAGGGAGGTAGTAGGGATAGAGTGGGTGTTACAAACACCCCTTGTTCTGCACACCAAGTGAAACAGGGCCTGGGAGAGGCAGAAAGGCCATGCTTCTGTCTTACAAATGCACAAGGAAGACTCAGGTATTACAGAAAACTGTCAGTTTAGACCTAAAACATGACAATAGTAGTCAAGAAGACACCATATGTTATGGGTGCTCAGATATATCAGGATTCTTGTGAATGTTGAAGAGCTCTTGAAATCTGAGGGAGGAAAAGAGAAAGGTGCCTTTGGTTGACCATCTTAATGAAAATCATTATCTCTTCCTCAGGTGAAAAGCAGTGTGGGCAGTTCTGGAAAGAGCTACCTGTTCTTCACGTACTTCTGCCCTGCTGTGCCTGTATGAAGAAGGAAGCACCTCCTCTTTCTTCCTCTGCAGCCTGGCTTACGCCAGACAAGGAACAGGGGAGTTGCATTTTCAAATGAGAACTGACATTTGCTTGTTTACACTTAAAAACATTTCATGAAGATACTGCTTTTACTGTAAGAGATGTTCATCTAAACTACAGGTAGATTGTTTTTCACTGTTAAATAACCATAAACTGCGTAAAACACTACTTTTCATTAGCTTTCCACATGAATGTGACATTGTTCAAGGTAAAATCCTCTGAAAACCAAGGAGAATGTGAGGGTTCAAACTCGCTGAACCTACATGTATAGAAGCAGCTCCAAAAGCTCTGACAGTCACACAAGTTACTGCTTGAATAGATTCCTAGATTGTATAAGCCTTGACACTCATGTTTAACTAAACAAAGGATATGTACAATTCAAGTGACTACACTGTGAGTGGCTGCCCTCATTCAATATGTAAGAGAAACATAGAGCCAAAACTACTTCAGTATCACTACAGTGAGAAAAGCAACGTGCAATTCATCGCATCTGCCATTCAAGCACAGCACAGAGTCATCCTGAAGGTCAGTCTGGTGCCATGGAGGAACAGCAAACCACACCACCTTCTGCTCCAGGGGCCAGGCAGAGTGTTTCAGCCACCACTTCTATTAATCAAGCACAAGGCAGTGGAAACACTTCAAAATTAAGGCCGCTGCCTCTGCACACAGCTCTCCTTATTAGGATAAGGTGTCAGCAGAAGCCATGTGATGGAAATAAACATCAGCCTTTGCCATGCTACCAGAAAACACCTTGACATCACTGTGACAAGGGTGTACATGGCATAGATCAGAATGGGTCAAAGAAGAAAAATCACAGAAGATTTGCATGGAAGCTCAGAAAACACAGAGCTACAGCTGGAAAACAAGTTCCCCCAAGAGGTATTCTCCAGACGGTGTCCTTCAGGTCCCAAAGAAATAATTCCTATTCCAGAGGTCTGGAATTACAGTTCATTTACAAAACAGCCATCTGCTAACCATAGAAATATGTTTTAAAATAAGACAAATACTGCTGCTTTTGTTACCGGTGAATCACATTCTTTTCCTTCCACTTCAGCTTAAACCTGTCAGTAAGTCGATCAGTAACCTGTTTCCTGTAAAGCATGAAAAAGGAGAATCCTTCACAGCTTTCACACAGAAAAGGGCAGCAGCTCCGGGATCACTACTGCTTTCAGCCCAGCTTCACATCTTAATATGTACACCTACATGAACTTTAAAATCCCTTTTCTTCTTCCCTCACCCGCAGTGTCAATTCAAAATAAACAAGACCCCACTCTGCCCCAGAATTAAATGCTTTGTATGACTCAAGTTATTTTTCCTAAGAAGGAAGTGCCCATTGTATGCCAGAGATGCATTTTCAGAGTTGAGAAATGATCACTTGAAAGCTAACCCCAGAAACCCATGCTAGTACTTGTTCTTCCTTCCAGCCAGTGAAAAGATGACATAAGGAGGAACCATTAAATAAGATGGATGGAATTGTTTCCAAAGCAAAGCAAGACACCTGTATCAATAAGCTCCTACTAATCAACTGGTAAAGTAGTAAAACTGCATAAAAGCAAAAGGTTATAACCCTAATGATTTTCCAAATTAATATTACCATCTTTTAACTAAGGCATATTCAGGATTAAGCACAAAAAGCTTTTTCCAGGTGTTAGAAGCAAAGGTGGCTATCAATTGCCAAAAAATGTTTTTAATTTTGCAATTGACGTAAAGCAAATTTTCATCTGAAAAAAATTCTGGCAATAACTATGTGTGTTGTTCTCAAAGTCTGGCATCAAATGAGATGGCACTTTGATACAGCTCTACAAGTAAAGAATAAAACCAAGTTTGTGAATATGAAGTCACTTTCCAGCAGAAAGGAATACACATAGCACTCCAGAAGCTCTCACTTCTCAGATCACCAGGTTTTCATCAAGATCTTTCCTTGAGCCATGACTTTCCTGAGTTTGAAAGGCCTGCTTTATTTCCTGCAGAATTACTCAGGTGTTACAAACAGCAACTTTCCTCCCACCTTTATTAGGCACAGTGCCAGTAAATGCTCTCCCAGGGCGTATATCCCTTTTGGGTTGGGGGATAAGGAGGACAATAGATGGTGAGCTAATGGGTGAGCTCCTCGCCTCCTGCCCTCAGCTTAAGCTAGTGAAATGATTACTCAGAGCACGAGTTAAGTGGGGCAGCTTGTGGCTACATCAGGGACCCACTGCTCCCTCGTTAGCAGCATAACTGGTGCATAAACAGGGCTTTTAGAAGTTGCTGTCTGCTTGCACAGGTTTCAGAGTTTCCGGTTTGTGGCTCTTTGAAGTGGGTTCCTACTCCATAGTGGTCCCACTTAACAGCTGTCAGGTAGAAACAGATGGATGGTGATCTCATGGCAGAGCCTTTGTTGTGCCCCAAATTAATACCTTTACAGATAGCTATGGACCTGCTGCCCTAAGACATTATAAATAGCACGTTTACCTGTTCCTCTCCTTTTCTTGCCTGGAGAATTTTCAAAGTGTGCTATGCACATGCATTCAAAAACCAATTCCCAGAGCAGCCAGCAGTATCACCCACTGACTGGTTACTGCGCTGCCTTACTCGCTGCTTATCTGGCATCTTAAATTGCAAACATGCAAACTGGGCAAAACAGGAGTTGTTCATGCAGGGTACGTGCACAGTGCAGTGTTACTGTACCTTTTCCTTTTCAGTCCACACAGAAAGAGCCAGAAGAGGAAAAGAGGGGGAAAAAAAAAAAGCCAGAAATCAATATAAAAGGAAAGAGCAAAGTAACAAACAGTATATATGTGATGATCTTCAGAGAGAACCTTCAGATTTTGCTGACAGTGTTTCATTTTGCTAACATTTCCCCTTTTGATTTATTCGAGTAACTGAGAGGATGCTGTGACAGCTAGTGTTTTAAAACTAAGTGGTTTAAAATGCACATGGAATCAGTGAAGAAAAATGAGTTTATAAATTTGGACTTCTTTGCATTAAAAAAAAGGCATCTGAGAGGAAACAAAACTGGAAGTTCACAGTGATGTAACTGGTAAAACTATTTTCAACAGGTACCACCAGCCAGCCAATCAACTCCCCATTAACATCAAAAAACATCCACGGACAACAGTCCCCAAAATCTAGATTTAATGCTGTCTTTAGGTGTTTTGGTTCTCCCAAGATATCATGTTATTCCCACACCTCAACAAAGACTCAAGACACTATCTGTAAGTTTTACAGCCAACAGAGAAAGTAAATGGTTCCACACTAATCAATACAAAGCTTAGCTATACAGAATCTTTCTGGCCAGAGCATAAAGTCTCCATGAAAATAACACATTTCAGGAAGTTCTGTTTAAAGGCTAGTTCTTGAGTAGTGTTAAAATCTCTTGATTTACTTTTACACTACTTTTGAGTAGTGCAAAAAGCTCTTCTAGAAGGATGGAGGAAAAAAAACATCTGAAGATTGTTTATTGCTTTAAGATCCCTTTCAACCCACACCATTCTGTGATTCTATGTAACTAACAGCAGATACCAGAAATGGCAGATCAAGAGGTTTAGATGAGATATTAGTTTTGGGGGTTTTTTGACCCTGCAAGATTATGTGGCCCTGGAGCAGGTTACCAGAGGAGTGTGCACACGCACATTTGCCTGTTGGGCAATATTTTCCATCCATAAGAGTCTTTCAAGACTTGGCTAGACAACGCCAGGGCTGCCCTGACTGGTGACAGCACCGAACACAGAGTGACTACAGGCCTCCAGAATCCCTTCCTACCAACACTTGTAACACAGGATGTCAAAGAATTGGCATCTAATCTGACTCGACTTCACCAGAGAAGCATTTGAAAAAGCAGAATGAAAACTACCCAAGAGTCCTTAAAATGACAAAGCAGAGAAATCAAGACATAAAGGTGGACTTCAGAGAAGAGACAAGCTAAATAGCTACATAAAGTAAAATATATGTAAGAAAAAAGAATGGGTTAAAAGATGCACTGGTGACAACAACATTATGCAGAGAAATTTGAACATCAGCAACATTCAACCACAAAATAGACCTACATTTTTGTCATGTTTCTATTGTACAGTATCAGCCATGCACACAGCTTACAAAACTTGAGGGAGTAAATCTCATCCTCATTAGCACACGTTGCAGAAAAACCTCTTCATAAAAAAAGTACAGAAATTGATCAGTCTACAGACAAACTGCTGGTTTAAATCACAGACTAAACCCAAGCCAGAACATTAATCCTCAAACTTTGTGCACAAAAAGGCCTTATGCAGCCATATCCTGTGAGGATTTCTCTCTTTGCAGATAGCTCTGAGAGCTCTGGGGTCCATACCCAAGTTTTAGTTACAGAACTGAAAGAATTTAGCAGAGAACAGAGAGTCCAGGAAGCATTGTGCCCATGACTGAAACAAAGTTGAATGACATACTTTTATCCCTCCTCACCTTTAAATTACAGCACAGACTCACAGAATAACCTCACTTGCAAGGGAGCTGTGGAGGTCTCTGGCCCAGATCTGCGGCTCCGAGCAAAGTCAACAAGATCAGCTTGCCCAGGGCCTTGAAGAGTTTTGAATATCGGCAAGGAAGGAGGTTCCTCAACCTCGTTTTGCCTTATCTAATGCTTCATCACCCTCATAGCAATGAATTCATCAAAGCTTCCCACGTTGCAGTTTGTGTCCATTGCCTCGTACCTAACACCACAGACCACTGAGAAGGATCTGAGTCTCTCTTCTCTATACCTTTCCATTAGGTAGTTAGGTAGTAGAAGATAGCAACACAATATTCCCTTAGCCACCTTCTCTTGATGCAGAAGACACCAAATTTTCTCAGCCTCTCCTCATGCATCATGGCTTCAGCCCCATAGTAATCTTGGTGACCCCCCTCCACTCACTGCAGTACATCAGTGTCTTCCTTTCACTGAGCGTCCCAAAACTGCACCCAGGACTTCAGATGTGACCTTCAAATGCAGAGTAGAGGCAAGTATTAGTTTTCCTCAACCTGCTGAATGCACTTGGGATAACACAGCCCAATACGTGGCTGTATAAACAATAACTTTCTATGTTTCAACAGATCAGAAAGCTTTAAAGGCCCTGTTGCAAACATGCAAAGAAGTTCTTCGAAGTATAGACATCTATTTTAAGAAAAGACAACTAGTGGAGAGCTGGCATTGTTCCAGGTTTCCTAGAGGCCACAAAATGAACCAAGTAACTACAGACTACACAGCCTTGCAAAGATCATGGCCAAAATAACAGTAAATGTGTTAGTCTAGTCATCAAGGGTGTAAAAAAGAAAACTTAAACACACTAGCATTGAGCAAAACAAGCACCCAAAACAAGATAGCATCCTGAACATTCACGCATTCAGTGGCCCATCCTCTTAAACAGGATTTGATGCCGAAATAATTAAGTCAAAGGTAAGAATGACTGTTCCTCTTTGCATTCTTATATGGAGTGTTATAGCCCCTTCTGCAGTGTTAAATGCTAAAAATAATCTCTACTATGACACTTGCAGAGAATAATTTCTTGTTTAAAAGCTTACTGACTTCAGAGTGTCTGTAAATAGAGAGCACAACAGGAAAATCAGAGTAAATATGTGTTCCATAGTAGTGATAATGGAGATCTCCACATATCAGACAAATTTTAGAAAAGCCACAAAGATCTACAAGTAAAAACTCAGTAGTATCATGTATTGAATGTAGCAGGTAAGTAGTTATTTATATTCAGGTTAAGCAAATCCTGTAATCATTTCAATACTGGTAAGCAAATGGCATCAAATGGTTTAATGTCTAAATACCCAGGAAGGCGAGTCTTACACAGTCTGTCTTTCCCACCCTTCTGTTTACCCTGTCCCTCATAACTTTTGGTCTTTGGATAATTTGAGCCAACTTCAAAAGAAAAGTGAAGAAGATAATGAAATATCTAAACCTGTTAAGAATTTGCTGCTGAATGAACAAAAGGTACAAAACCCCAATGTGACAGGAGCAATTCAAGAGCTGTTCTTGCCCAGCACGCAAGCTGGATACCCAGAGGCACAAGCTCAGAAACTTCTTAAAGGAAGTTTGGTGTTAAGAGGAAGGAAAAAATAACTGAATAAAGGGACACGGAGGTGACTGGTGCAGGGGAAAGTCAGGGAAGGAGAAACCTATGATGCAAGCCTGCAGGTACCGTGGGTCAGAAGTTCTACTTCCAAAGGAAGGCATTTTCATTTCCCTAATGCTGGCAGCTGTTATGTCATAAGTAAGAAGATTAATAGTGTATGAGATGATGGTTGTACACTGGTTCTGGTTTCTTCCATATGTAAATAGAGTAATTTATATTTAAAGATAGAAAAGGCTCTTTAGACAATTGCCACAGAGCTAAATATCTCAATATCAATGTGCCAATCCCCAACAAAGCAGAAAAATATGTAAATAATGGCAACTAGAATATTACTTGTACTTTATTTCTTTACTGAAAGAAAATCAGATTTAGCACAAGCAGAACATATTAGAAGAAATCCACCCTGCAATTCTAATTCAGGCTGGGGGGGGTTTCCCTTGTGTTTGGGGTTTAAGATCATTAAAATGCAAAAACCTCAAAACATTATTTTTAACTTACCAAAGATGAGTGCTAACCCATGGGAAGTCCCCACTGCGATCAGATTTGATGCTGCCTGAAACAGACATGCAGAAGGATTGAAAGTAGAGAAATGTCAGTCACAAATTCACCACTTAACCTCTCACTACACTCATGCAAAGTTTGCCCAAAGGGGAAGATTTACAAGGTTATAGATAGAACCATTTTCTAATTTGTAAGTGAAAAGCAATTTCTGTGTGAAAGCTAGAGAAGTATTACCCCTAAACAACCATCACATACATTTTTCTCATATTCAAAGGGCTGCCTTTTCCTCTGCTGTTTGAAATTCAAATGCTCAGAGTGAAACTTCTTCTCTGTAAAGTCAGCCTCACTCTTTTGGTGTGGTAGCTGAGTGTAAATACCCAGAAGGTTTTTCTTACTCAGCTGCTACATCCACATACAAAGTCTTCTACAACCCCGGGCAGTGATGGTCCCCTGAAAGGACAGTCCACAGCAAGCCCAGAGACTCCAACTTCTTTCCATGCAGAATTAAACATAGTTCCAAAGCTCTACTGCACTTGCAAACTGCACCCAATTAAATAAAATTCAGTGGAAACACATAATGTTGTTCTACTTTTTATTTCTTAGCAAGTGTAAATCAGATTTAAAAAATTAAGTACTTTAATGTCTGGAGTATGCAAGTACAGGTTTTTATCCTACGTGCACATCAGCATGCTTCCACTTTTGCTGAGCAACCTTTTGCCTTAGATGTGACTTTATTCTTTTTCCTTTTTTAAACAAGAAGTGTAATTTCTTTTGGACTGCTGTTACTACAGTCAAAACAACTAAGTACATCTTTAGTTTCTTTCTAAGATATTAAAACTCATTTCACATGGACAGAACAAATACTTGCTGTATTTCACATCCTTAAAATAGTTCTCCTCTAACTACAGGCAGCTTCACTTCAGCTGTATTTTAATTAGCACACGACTTCAGAAGTTTTAATGCAAATTGCTAAGCAGGAGTATCTTTCAGACAGGCTTTTAGTGAAATCGTATGTTTTAAGGTTAGATTTCGCTTACATCAGAACTGTAGAGATTTTGAACCCTTCACTTTATGAGCACTTCAGTTTAAGTTTCTCTAAAAACTTGTTTGGAGTCAAAACAATAACTGGCTAAGAAGAAATACCTAGGGAAATGTAATGTGTTTAACAGATGAATACTTACTCTATGAGGAAAGGTTAGGTACTCAACTAACAAGCCCTGGTGATGACATGAAAAAGGGGAAAACATGGAGCTTGATCAGCAGAGATGCAGCTGGGCAGGTAAAAAAGGTTGAACTCTGCCCCCAGGAACTAGATTATTTCATGCTGCTTCTCCCACCCCTCATATCTGAAAATTCTTAGTAAGGGTAAGAGGGCAGATGCGTTTATCAGCTGTCCTAAATCACTGTTTTAACAAACTTGCATGAAAACTAAGTATACAGAACTTGAAAATTGTTAGAGTACTTACAATTGCAGTGGGTAAGCCAGCATCCACTTTGTCCTAGAAAAACAGGACAAGTCATGAGTTAAGAGGGACAGAACTTCCAGCTCTGTGCATGTCTCTCATCATTAGAACCACAAAACGCAGGGGAAAAAAAAAAAAAAAAAATCACACAAGTTGCATTTAATAGTCCCACCAGGGCAGAGAGTGCTGAGGGAGGGAACCACTGCCTAGAAATACCCAGAAGGGATGAGGAAGTGCACAGAAATGGAGAGAAAGACAGAATATCCTGTAATTCCGTATGGAAGTCATTGTGTTCTTCTCAAAACAATTTGATCTTAATAACAGTTCTCAGTATTCTCTCTGTACACAGCACAGACATTGACTGCAAAACTACTTCCCCCTCACCTCTCAAGCACACCTTATTAGCTCCCCATGCAGCTGGTTCTCCCACACCTCCATCAACCTGAGTAACAGCCAGCAGCAGCACACTGCAGAGACTCTGGTCACACAGCCATTACAAAACACTGTACGGATGAGTCACTTCTATTCTAACAAGCCTACCTTGCACGCTTGAGAAATCACACAATAAATCACCACCTTAGTTCTGATCTGGGAGTCTTCCCCCTGCAGGACAATCTACAGACCAGCTCTATTGCACCTGTGCCTCAAGTGCAGTCACAGACACAGGAACATGCAAACCTGCTCCTTGCTCTGCTCAGAACAAGGAGTATAGTCTGTCCCCGCTGCAGGCATTAAACAAACCTGTATCCAGCATCTTTAAGCAAGCAGACCAACAGCACTTCTATCATTTTATATTAACATTTCCCACCAGGTTTAATGATACCTAGCAACACAAACCAGTGTTAAAGAGGATCTTCTGTAATTCTACCATATTGCTGTTGCAATGACACAGCTAATACCCAATTCACTACTAGCTAGGGATTGCTAGCTAATAGTTTATGTACCAAACATCTCGGTATTATCCAAAACTAATAATAGGGGGAGGCTACACACATAGTCCCTTCCACACCAGAAGCTAATTTTTTTTTTCTTAATGAATGCAACCAGGAGAAAAGGACACTCACTGCTGCAGATACTATTTGGGCAGAAATTCCTTTCAGAAGTGAGAGCCGTATAACTGATCCATGGAGTGAGAGAGTATCTGGGAGCTTTTTCTTCCTAAGAAAATGAGAAATAAACCAAATGTATTAGAGCAGAATAAAAGTTTGGGACTTTGCCTAACCCACAGCTAAACCAGCAGGTAAAATCTGCATGCAATCATAACTCATGCAGTTTCCATTCCTGTTCATAGGGCCCACACACACAGAATGAAAGGGACATGAGGTTATTAGCAAAGCCTGCTATGTACCTCTGTGCCAGCATAAAATTGGTTTTTAACTCATCTCCCAGGGGATAACAGAAAAAAAAAAAAAAAAGTTCTTCAAACAATTTGCCAGTTTCAAGCACATATCTGCAAATCTTAGATTTATTAATAAAGCCTGAAAGCAACATTTTTACTCTTTAATTAATCTTCCAGTGAGTCGGGAAGTTTCAGCCTTTAAAGCTGAGTATATAAAGAACATACACTATTGGAAAAGACTCATTAACAGAATACAGACCCCTAGGAAAACCGAAGGTATGCTTAAAGTATAACATTCAATTAAAACACAGCTGATCTGGTACGAAAGGTTAAATGACTTTAAAAAGTAACTAGTCTAAGTGGGACAGTTACTTCCAGGGAGCATTATACTACAGCACACACACAGTAGAGGGAAAATCCCAAGGAAGTTGCAGTTTTGTTGCCAAGTACACAACATCACAAAGCCAGATTTCCAAAACTAACACACAAACATTTAGTTCTTATCTCTCCAGAGGTGCATAAGTAAGTACCTCACATTTGGGGGCCTAGAAGAATGCCAGAGAGGGACTCTTCATCAGGGACTGTAGTGATAGGACAAGGGGTGATGGGTTCAAACTTAAACAGAGGGTAGATCTAGATTAAACATTAGGCAGAAGTTCTTCCCTGTGAGGGCAGTGAGACGCTGGCACAGGGTGCCCAGAGAAGCTGTGGCTGCCCCCTCCCTGGCAGTGTTCAAG